TGGTTATGAATAGCCCTGGCGTCAAAATACAATTCCATAAATATTTCTTAAGAAACTACCATAAACACTGTGCTAGGTAATGTCAGATGTAAGAGAGGCAGAGATACCAAGATTAATGCAACACGCCATCAGCCATCAAGGTGCAGACATTGTTGGAGTGGAGTTAGAGACCTGGCTATCACACAATCCTGTTTATATAATACAGGCACAGATTTGGGAGTTCATGGGAAGCAGAGGTAACCAGAGGTTTCTAAGATGGCATAATCCAGAAATGGTATTTGATTGGACTTGGAAGGCTGGGCAGGACTCCAGCAGTCAGAGGGAGAGGGTCTGGGCTGGCTGCTTCCTGTGTTCCCTGCTTCAGAGTCAATACTGCCTATTTCAGGGAGGTAATTTTTACTAAAACATTGCTTTGATCATGCCATTTGCTGGCTCAGAAGCGTTGAATACTTTCTGCTGCCTTCAGTGTAATGGCCAAATTCTCCATAATTGGCCTCAACATACAGTTATTGTACTAGATGGTTTCTGAGGTCATTTACAAATCTGAGTCTGTGATTATATAATTTTGCCATAGTAGTTTTCCTTTCCACAACTTCCCTACATGCCCCATCTTTCTACCTCCTGGCTTTGCTAATACTACTCCATTCTCTTGCAATGCAGTTGGTTGTCTTCCTCTATTAAAATTTTATGTTTCTTCAAGTTTTCTGTGAAAATCTCAGATCATATTAGACCAAAATGATCTTTCTTATCTCTGAACATGTAGAGCAATTACTAATGCATAGGATTTATTTGGTAAGTGGTCACACACCCCCTTCGCACACACTTCTCTTATTTGAATCTTTTATTGTGTATACACATGGGCAAGGATGGAAATGAATATGCAAAAAAATTTTGAGCTAAGAGGTAACATGGGTTCTTTTTCTTTGAATGTCTTCCACTGTGCTCTTATTTTTATAAAAAGTTAAGCCTCTTGTTATGTACTTTTAAAATCGTTATGTCTCAGAGCATTAAACTAATAAACCTAATTTGGTTTTATGTGTTTTAGTGTTCCAGCAAGGCCTTTCACAGTGGCTTCTAGGAATTTATACAATTAACAACAAACACACACACATAAGAAGAAGATATGGGGTAATTATATTCCTCATTTGAAACACAAGCACTTTTTTGGAGGCTTTTTATTATCTCTGCATATATCTATTCTTATAGAGCTTACTCTTTCTTTGTTATTTGTGTTTTACGTATCTCACTACCCGCACTAGATAAATTGTAGGCTTCTCATTACAAGGACTGTACCTTGTTCATGTTTATATCTTCCAGAGTGCCTTACAGATAGTTAGTGCCCTAAAATTTTGACTTATGTCAAATTAAAACATTATACATAAGTATATTTTACAATATTGCAAACATAACCAGTTAAGTACCTATCACCAGAAATATGTCCAAAGGCTCAAATTGACTTGCAAGTCCTTACTGGTTTCCCATGAACACATTTTAAAATAAGTATTTTGAAATACTTTCAGTTCAATTATCATTGCATACATAAGAATTATGATAAAGGATGTTTTCTAACTAGGCAGCTTGTTTTTTATTATGTTGCTTATAGAATAACTTCAAGTACCTAAATATGTCATTAACAACAATCTTTGGATTTATGGAGCCAGTTACTGAAAAATATTATTCTTTAGGTCGAAAGTAAAGGTAATTTAGTATTTGTTCTGATGCTAATATTTGAGATTGGCTTATAAAACAAATCTCTTTTTCTCCTGTGTATTCTTACAAGTGGTAGACTCTAAATATGCAGTATTTAGTAGATGAAAACTCTTTCAGTGGAAAGTCTCTTCAAGTAGTATGGCTCATAAATTTCTGAGAGTAACTCAGACACACACACACACACACACACACTCTACAGCTAAGAAACTGAGGTCCATTTAGGTCATACTCTTTGCATAAGGTAGCACAAGGAGTCATCAACAATCTCTGTGTCTTTTGCTTTATACTCAGCTTCTTTTCTCTTATGTGATTTTAAGGGGCCCTACACATAATTCAAGGGTCCCCCATAGTTTGCCCACTCCAAAGTAAATACCTCTGGGTCTGTCATAGTTTGAAGTTATCACCACTAGTCAGTGATTTATTTTAAGACATTTCCCCTTAAAAAAAGCCTTAAGGGGCTGGCTCCATGGCCAAGTGGTTAAAGTTCTGTGCGCTCCATTTCAGCAGGCTGGGTTTGCAGGTTCGGATCCCAGGCACAGACCTACACCACTTGTCACTATGCTGTGGTGGCGACCCACATACAAAATAGAGGAAGATTGGCACAGATGTTAGCTCAGGGCGAATCTTCCTGAAAAAAGCCAAAAAAAAAGAAGAAGATTGGCAATAGATGTTAGTTCAGGGGAAATCTTCCTCAGCAAAAATAAGCAAACAAAAACAAACCTTAAAACACTATTACAGTGCTTGTAAGAGATGACCATATCCGTAAAGAAGGCATGATCACATTACAATAGTAGTTTTCCCATTTCTTCCTAGAATCGAGGAAAGCAGCGGGGCCCTGGAGAAAGAAAGCATGGGAAGGATCCGTAGGCCCAGGAAGAGCAGTGCTTTAGACACCCTGCATGCATTAGGGCATGGTGGGCAGCCAGAGGGCAGTGTGGGCGCATCAGACCCCTGGCCACAGGTGGACACAGACTTCACCTCGTTCACAACCTCACCACAAAGACCTGAATAATGTGGATTTGGATCAAGTAGAGAAATGGTTGGAGAGAGAGGAATTTCATAGTGATTAAGGGAATTAAACATTTAACTAAAAACTTGAAAAATAACAAAAAATGAGCAAAGAAAGAAGCTGAAATTAGCAAATTAAAAAACAAAAATATACACAAAATATCTTTAGTAATCAAATACAGTGTGGCCTTTCACAACCCACCCCTTCCCCACACTCAGTTGAATGTAGTGTATGGTTCTTCATGAGTTTGAATGAAGGGAAGCAGCTTAAATACATCACAGATTATAAAAGATTGCTATTTTGAACAACTGTTCTAAGTGTTGGGTTGATTTCTGATGTGCTACTGAACCATAATATCCCATCGCTTTAAACAGTTGATTGATGACTTTAATCTACTTTTTCTCTATTTTAGACTATTCCATCGATCTCCAAAACAGCTTCTATAAACTGCTGAACAACCAGTTAGACTGTTCGGTATCGCTAGTCTTCCCAGAATAACCAAAATGAGTTGTTTTTTCTTATATTGATAAGTATTTACTCATGGATTCACCAAAAGAAAGTCTTCATTCTTTAGAGAGAGAAAGTAACATAGTGCCTGGATATGTGGGCTCTGGGGTTAAATTGTTGGGGTGATATCTGGCTCTTAACCCCTCTGTACTCTTGTTATAATAATGTCAACCTCATTGGACTTTTCATTCAACAGATATTTGTAGAAGCCAATGATGTGCCAGGTAGTTTCTAGGCACTGGGGTTATAGCAGTGAATGAAACGGACAAAAACCCCACTCACACAAAGCTTACATTCCAATAGAGGGAGACAGACAATAAACACAAAAAATCAGTAAACTATATAGTATGTTTGCAGGTGAAAAATGCCATAGAGAAAGACAGAACAGTATAAAGGGGATGAGAATCCTGGAAGAAGGGAGAGAGACAAATTTGATAGGGTGGTAATGGTAGGTCTCACCAAAAAGATAAATTTGAGCAAAGACTTGAAGGAGATGATGCTGGAGCACTGCCGATATATGAGAGAAGTGTATTCTAGGCAGAGGGAGCAGCTAGCATAAAGGCTGTGAGGTGGGAGTATGCTCAGTGGGTTTGAAAAAAAGAAGATTCAATGTGGCTGGACCTCTCCAGTGAACAAGGTGCAGAGAGAGGAAATGTGTCAAAGAGGCAGAGGGTGGGGCTCAGCTGAGTAGGGCCTTGTGGACCATTGTATGGACTTGGACTTTTACCCTGAGTGGAATGGTGTTGTATAGTAGTAGAGGGTTTTGAGCAGAAGAGTGACAGGATCCCCTCTTTAAAAGGATCACTCTGGCTTCTGTGTTGAAAATAGACCTCATGGAGTCAAGTGTGGAAGCAGAGACCAGAGAGTAAGTGATGGCAACCATGCAAGTGAGAGAGAACGGTGGGTGGGTCCAAGGTGGTAGCAGTGGAAGTGGTAAAAAGATGTTGAATTTTAAATACATTTTAAGAATAAGTAGAGTCAGTAGCATTTGCTGATGATATGGAGTGTGAAAGAAAGAGGATTTTGGCTTAAGCAATTGGAAATTTGGAATTGCCACTAATTGAGAAGAGGACTAGGGGGAGCAGGTTTCAGGGAGGAGATTGCGAGTTCAGTTTTGGCGTGTTAAGTTTGAGGTGCCCATTCGACATCCAGGTGAGTTCAAATACATGAGTCGGAGAGAGAGGCCCAAGCTGGAGAGGCACTATGGCAGTTGTCAGAATATAGTGGAGTTCAAAGCGATGAGATTGGATAATATCACAGAGTTTGGGATCTGGAGTCAGACTACTTGGCACCCCCACTTATTAGCTGAGTAACGTTGGGAAAGCCACTTACCTTCTCTGTGTCTCAGTCTCTTCATCTGTAAAACGAGAAGAACAAGAGTAACTATCTCACAGGGTTAAAATTAAAATTAAAATCACTAATATCTGCAAAGCACTTAGAACATTAAATGTTAACTGTTAATTTTCAGTACGACTGTTCTGTAGTATACCTGTGGGACGCCACAAATCCTTGCATTGACTCATGTTATTAATGTGGCGGTGCAACTTTTCTTCCTGTGGTGTTATTACGTTTTTGGTTTGTGACTGTTAATTGGTACTAGAAGTTCCACTGAGTTGATTTTACTTCCAGAATTAAACTGACCTGAATTTTTGATATTAGCTCTGCCTCAGTTGTTGATATATTTTTAAAGCGTGTATATATTTTAAGATCTGTTACTTGTTCAGAAAAAAATCTTACGAGTTTCTTCAGTGCTGCTCTCCTTTGCTTTTCTCAGTGCTCAGCAGAGGAGCAGTCAGGTTCACAAGAAAAACACAATTGGAAATCAGGTAGGAATTGTTTAAAACAATCAGTGCATGCATGCCCCAAAGAATTTGAACTAAATTGCTTGATTGACTATTTTTTAATGCATATTAATCATGTGCAAATTTTGCTGGAAATGCGGCTTTTTGTTTTGTTTTTGCTTTTAAAGTTTTTGGAGTGAATTGCATTTTGTTTTTTTTTTGCTATTTTACGCAGCTAACCCTATTGATTTATTTTAAATAACTTTTCTGCTATTTGCTTTGCTTTTCAAATTTGACTTCTTGTGTCCTACTTTGCTTGCTTACATTACCCCTAAATTTGATTTAACATTGAATCTGTGAGTCAGTTCAAGGTTAAAATACGGTGAGTAGTTGCATGAGCTTTCTGGTGCCGCTGACTAGTTCACACATTTGCACAGCTTGGTAACAGTGAAGGGACAGCTCATAAAGAAGGCAGTTGGTGGATTTAATCTCTGCCACACCAAATTCCTGTTGGCTAATGAAGATGTTAATTCCTAAAATGATCTGATCTTTTGAGTTTTGTGTTTGGGGCTGACCAGCTGTCTCTGACTAATAGCGCTCTGCAGAGATTGCATTAACTCCGACAGTTTGCTGTTTCTTTTATGTTTTATGTGATAATGAATATTTGCATTGTTATTTCTTTTCAAGTCAAAACAATGATGATTGTATAGTTTTTTTTTTTAATTCAGAGGTACAATTATTGAACAAATTGAAACCTCTGCTCTAGACTTTTTTCCATTGTTTTGAAAGGAGAAGAGGTAATAACAGACTTTATTTTAAAAACTTTTTTTCTGAACTAAAGCATATAATTCTTTGCTATTTCAGGGAACCAATCTTCCGCCTTCAAGGCAAATTGTACGAGCTAAGTTCTGTAAGCTTTACTGTTGCTTTTTCATTTAGCTTCCCAAGGGCACAGTTTGTCTCTAACTGATTAACTCAACTAGCGCTTGCTACTAATTTTTTTAAACTTAGGTTGTCTTGTCCATAACACCCTATCGTTGAAATAAAAATCCTCTTGAGAGGGTTCATCCCTTCACTGCTAATAACTTGCTGTGATTGAAAGGTATGAACTAGTAAATTCTAAAACGCTGTAATAATAAACCCTTAACACTCTGAGTGCTTTGATGTTTCTCTAATTTTAATGGGCCTTAAAAAAATTAAAATCATTAATGACCTTCATCTCTGTCCTTTGATGCTTTGTTGTTATAAGGTGTAAGCCTTTCTCTTCCTCTTGTATGATAATATTTCCAATGAATGTAGATAACGCTTCTAAAAGGTGGGTGACTGTTAAACATCTGATTTTGGTGTATTTGTTAATAAGCTTATCCAACTCCAAAAATTCGTATTTATTTTTTAAAAAGCAATAAAACAAAAAACAAAATTACGTGAACTGACATTTTATGTGGCTTTAGAGCTGAATCTTTTAAAACCAGATGCTATGTCTTTTCACTTTATGGAAGTGTAAAGATGCTGTCAAATTATTAGCATAGGCATTTTTTGAAAAAACAACTACACTCTCATTTCTACCATGAATAAAGCAGCCTTAAAGTCTTTGTTCCAACTACATAAAAGTTGCAAATGAGATTGAAGCATGGGTCAATTATTTGCCTCATGACGTTTTGCAAGAAGCAAACTTTGGAGCTAGACATTCCTGGGTTTGAATTCAGCTCTGTCACTTAGTAGCCATGTGGCTTTGGGCAAATTGACCCCGATTTGCTCAACTATGTGATGGGCAGAATAGAAGATATCTCTGCAGTGTGATTGTGAGAATCAGGAATACTACAGGTAATGAAGTCTGCAGCTGGGTACTGGGTCTGTGCCCTGTATAAAGAGTAGAAACCTTGCTCTCAGCAGGTAGGTGCTGTTTCTTGAAACTTTGGGGAGAAAAAAATATAAAGTATAAGAAAATTATAACAGTTATAAAACGAGAACAGTGAAACACTTGGGCAAATTAGAGGCTGTGGCAAATTATTCTGAAAATTGCAGTGCCCAGATTAAGGATGTAAAGGATTTATCAATAAAACTTCCCCCCTGCTCAGAAGCATCTCTGGCTCATAGAAGTATATACTTATTGGAGAGGCAATCATTAGTGGCATAAGTGCATACTTTAAATCAGATCTGAAAGGAACAGTTTTCAATTATATTACTTCCAAACGCTAAAATCATGCTAATTGTGTTTCTGTTACTTTATTTTTGCTAAGTACTTCAAAGCCCACATGGGAAGTTTTATAACTCAAGATAATAGAATTGGGTGAGTGTTATAATAGAATACAGATCCTCTATCCAAAACCCTTAGGGCCAGATGTGCCTTGGAGGTCAGAACTTTTCGGATTTTAGAAAAATAGTACATTGCATATATCATATATTACCCAATATTCCTGTGGGGTCAGAGGCAGCACACTGTAATGAAACACATTATATTTCTGCAGTGAAACAAATGAATAATCACACCAAGAAGATTAATTGAAAGATATATTTTCACATCAGATCAGGTTTTGCTGCCAAATTTGTTTTTTTTTTTCTTTTTTTTTGTTTTACAAAAAAACCTTTCATTTTGAAAGTAAGGGATTATGAACCTGAATTTCTTATTTTCAAGAATCAAATCCAATAATTAAATGCAATATAATGTATTTTAAAGAATCCTTTATTGTTTTTTTATGCTTAGCAGAAATGAACCATCATGACTTAAAACCATTTTCTTTATGAATCTGAATATCTGAGGTTGATTTGAGTTTGTATGCAAACAGTTTTTTTCTATCAATAAGCACAAAGCCAGGGAGCCTTGGAGCCCAGCCCGCTAACTGATGCTGGCTTTTATGGTTGGTGGGGCTGAAATACCATGTGCTATCATAGCAAGTGGTTCATCTGTTCTGATATCCTCTTAGAGCTCCTGGTTGTAAGAGACTGCTGTGCAGAATCTGTCCTGAAATGTTTTAGAAGGATTTAAGGAAAGCTAAACTCCTCTTTAAAGTCTAAATCCCATTCATTTTTGTCTGCCTGGAAATTTGTCTGCTTAGAAGTTCCACAAGTTGATGTCAACAAATGTACGAAAAAATGTGAGCACACAATTAGCCTAAAGTTGCCCCACACAAAAATTTAAACTTAGACTTCATTCATCCCTTTACTCATCAAATGTGTATTCAGAACCTCTGAGTGCCAAAAATTGTGGTAGATGTTTAGAACAGAATGATGAATAAATCATGGGTCCTGCCCTCAGGGAGCTTATAGCCCAGTGGGGATGATGGTAAGTAAACAAATTGGGGTCTGCCTCCTTCCTCAAGGCTGGCTCCTTCTGATCCTTCAGGTCTCACTGAAATGTCACTTTTGTAAGAGGCTGACCCTGGCCGTCAGATCTAAAGTCACGTTCCCTCTCCAATGTCTTGCCATTATCTATTATCTTGTTTATTTTTTATCTTCCTTCACTAGGACCTAAGCTCCATTAAAGCTATTTTTGTGATGCTGAAAGCAGTGGAGGAGTATCATTGTAAGGTTTTAAGCACAATCATAATAACATTTTAGAAAGATCATTCTGCCTATAGTGTGAAGAAAGATTTTGAAGGGAAGACAAGATTACAAAAAGGAGACTAGTTAGGAGGCTGTTGCTGACAAGAGATTATGGTGATCTGGGCTAGGCTATTTGAGCTGGATTTGAGGAGAAGCTGATGAATTCAGGAGATATTAAATAGGAAGAATCTCAAAGATTTGTGATGAATAGGATGTAGGGGAGAGGGCTGGGGATCGTCAGCAGTGCTGTCCAGGTATCTGATTTAGGCACGGGTAAGATGGTGGTGCTCTTCATGGAAGAGGAAATATAGTGAGAAACTCAGGTTTGGATTCAGAGTCAGGAATGGTAGATATGTTGAGTATGAGTCACTGTGGAAGACTGGACTAAAAATGTCCAGTGGGAAGTTGGATAAAAGTGTCGAGAGTTCAGAAGAGACAGAGAAATATTTATTCCAAAGATAGTATAGGGAGCCAGTGAAGGATTTCCAATACGGAATAGATATCTTCTGATTCGTATGTTGGAAAGATCTGTGTGTCAGCCATATGGGATGATTTGGAGGAGTAAAACTAGAGATATGGGAATTGGTGAAAATGTTTTTGAAGTAATTCAGGTAATAAAATACAAGTGTCGGTAGCAGGAGGTATGTGGGGGAGAAGGGACAGATTCATTACATATTTAGAGAGTGGAAAAAGTTATAAATAGTTGTGGAGTTTTGGCGTTGAGTCATCCTCCTAGGCTATGTCTAAGGGGATCCACTGACAAAGGGAGCGCAGATTTCAGGGGAGATGGGAGAAGAAAGTGGTGATTTCTGTTTCAGATACATTTTTATGTGCCTTATTGGAGACAACCATAGGGTTTGAGGTTCGAGACTTGTCTAGACTGGTGATGTAAGTTCTACAGTTGTCAATATATACATGGTAGTTGAAGCCATGGGAGTAGATGAGATTGCCTCCAAAGGATGAGAGCAGTGGAGGAAATATGGGATTTAAAGGATAATGGGACAGAATGAGGGACTGAAAAGGAGTCTAAGAAGTGATGAGAGGTCGGAAAACTTGGAGAGTAGTAGAATGAGAGCCAAGGGAAGAGAATGTTTCAGGGAGGGAATGGTCAAATAGTATTAGACGTTTCCAAAAGCTCAAGAAACGTTGGAGAAATTGTCAAAGAGGTGGGCTGGTAGAAGGTCCTGAGTAGTGTTGGGGACCACCTAAGGTAGTACCAGTCCTCTTGGTCTTGTGAATTGCTCTTCTACCTACAGCTGGAAGGTAGCATAAAGCTGAGAAAGCAGACAGTGGAATTGATATCCTGAGCTGGGGTTTTTCCAGGGAGGCAGCATGCAAGGTCAAGAGAGCAGGTGAGTTCAAATTTTGAAGAGAGTTTGAAATAAAGGCTTGTTTTCATTGATGTATTAGTCAGGACATTAGTCAGGACAGGTCAATCAGGTAACAGACAACCCTGGAATTTCAGTAGCTTAACATAATAATTTAATTCACCCTGCTCTAAC